TCCATAATTCCCAGCCAATATGGCCAGTATCTGTGTTAGCTGAATGTAAAGAGTAGTCAATCTCTCAAGAAAAGGAATGCTCACAGTGCACAATGGAAAGAAGATTTAGTTATTTCTTTTCCAGTTATACATGAATAATAAAGGAACACTGATGCTTTCTGTGAACTACAGCTATGGAGCTAACCCAAATAGGTTGATTCTCATTTGTTGTTTTTGTGTATTATCCAAGATGCATGGAAGCTTTTTCTCTAGTGTAAAGTTCCTAGTAAATACAATGACTCTTGTAATAACCAGTTCATTTGTTAGTTTGACTACTAATATAGCTGCTACTCTGATAGCAACAAATTGATATTAAGAAGATGTTAAACATGTTTTCCTATGCTATGGCAATGAAGAGTGTGCCCTATTTGGCATGGGTTAGAGTTGCAGAATTTTTCCTCTTATGATTTGTATATTTCTAATTGCTCCAGCTGGTGAAATACAAGGCACTATTAGCAAGATACTGGGATTATCAACGAAGAAGTGATTTTAAAATGAACAAAGTCTGCTCCAATGCATACCATTCTTCTCTAGGCATTCTACTGACAAAATTGTTTTAAAAGAGATTATCTTTATAAGGAGAAGAGGATTTAGAAGACTACCATATTTTTCAGAGTATAAGATGCACATTTTTTCCTCAAAAAAGAGGCTGAAAATCTGGGTGCATCTTATACATCATTTTTTGCCTCCCAAAGCCCCACCCTGTCACCAAAATGGCCATTTATAGCCTTGTGAAGGCTTTCAGAGAGCTCCTGGGGGCTGGGGAGGACAGAAATGAGCAAAAAATGGACCATTTTTTGCCCCCTCCCCCACAGCAGCACTTCATAAGCCTCCATAAGGCTATGCATGCAATTTTTTTTTACAAAAAACAGGCCTGTTCTTTGCTCGTTTTTGCTCCCCCCCCGGAGCATTCGCAAGCCCCCCCAAGGCTATTCATGCCTTTTTTTTAAAAGGGGGGGGTGTTTTTGTGAAAAATGGGCCATTTTTGGGAGGTTTGCAGAGTGCAAAAAGATTTTTTTTCTCTTTTAACTGATGAGAATTGCATTGATCAAGTGCTATGCCAGCAGAAACAAAGTCTTAGGTGCTGCAGATTGTCAATGATTTCCTTCTCCAGCACATGGATAAATACATCTGGAAACACCTACCTACCTACCTATTCTCTCTCTCTCTACCTACCAACCTATATATATACTTACCTACCTACCCTCTCTCTCCCTACCTATCTACTGCATTTCTCTCTATTTCTCTCTCTATCCCTCTACCTACCAACCTACCTACTCTCTCTCCCTACCTACTGTATTTCTCTCTCTCTCTCTCTCTTTCTCTCTCTATCCCTTTACCTACCTAACTACTCTCTTTCTCCCTACCAACCCACTGTATTTCTCTTTCTCTCCCACTCTATACCTCTATCTACCTACCTTTTGAATTTGCCTTATTTGTCAAAACCTTGATGCGTTTTATTTTCCACTGTGTCTTATACTCCAAAAAATACAGTAAATAGTACAGTTATGTAGCTTAAAGGACTGGAGGAGAGCAAGAAGAAAGGGCGAGTGCCTGCTTTTAAAAAAAGTATTTTACTTCAGTTTTTGACATAAGCCAAAGCTTAGACTAGCCTTGATGATGCAAAGTCTAATTTTTCCAGGACTTTTAAAAAGCTCTACTAGCAAATGTCCTTACCCGCATAGGGCAATCTTGCGTAGATCTATGGAAGGTTAATCACATAATGGAAGGCGTCAAAAGCATTCAGATGTTCTATTAGAAAGGAACTATGCCTCGATCAATTTTTGAGATCTAATATCATCCGAACCAATATAGAGCTATTAAGATTACTGATATCTAAGACAATGATTCAGATTTACTTTATTCCCTAAAAAACAATGGCTGGGGGGCGGGGAGGCAGGATTATGGCAGTTTAGTGGACATGTTGATGTGAGTGTACCCATGGCTTGTTTTTCCTTTTCTTGAAAACACTAAACAATTCTGAG